AGTCAAAAAAGTCTAAATCATTTATTTCAATTAGACCACAGTAGGCACTTTTGAACGTCAAACAAAAAAAGGAAAAATGTATTTCAAGAGCTTTTAATATTAAGCATGTCAGTCTGTCCTCTAGTGAAGCTATTTTCTCGTTCCAAAGTGTAGATTCCTATGGAGAAGAACGAGCAAGAAACTCCTTGGTTAGGTACTCATTTTCAATCAGTTTTACAATACATTTCTTTGTTACATCATTTGATTGAGACATTTGGGGATTAGGATTAGGATTTGGGAATTAGGGGGTAGTTTCCTAGGTCAAAAATAAATTAATTCGACGTTTCAATACAATGAAATATCGAAAAATAACTATAGGTACTTTTATTCATCGATCGATTTCTACACTAAATTTTAGATAAATTTAAGCTAATTTTTAAGAAATAAGTACGCTATTTGACCCAAAAATACTATGACGTCATAACTCAGTTTTTTATACAAATTTCATAGTAAAGTATCGTTTTTGACATTTGGATAAAAGTATTGAATTTGACTAGTTGGAAACTACCGTATTAGAATATGTGTGTAGACATCTGAAGACCGGAGGCCCAACCCATCCCTCTCTAATCCTAGGGATTATATCTCCAAAACCCTTATCCCCAAACGGGTAGCAACGCAGTCGTCACTCTTCGGGTGTTCTCTCATTGATCGCACCGATTGCTTACCATCAGGTAATCTCGTCAGACTGTCGCTGCTTATCCTCACAAATACACATGATATCTCAGTTCAAATTTTAATTATAAATCAATTGAATTTTTCCCGGCCCGGTCACGAACCCCTGTCAATCAATCAATGAATGTGTTCGCATTAACAACAACATCTGTTTTTAATGATAAGAGTCTGCACTTGATATTGTAACTAATGTTGTGATCATTCAATTTGTCTGTCTGTGTGACTAGCTAGTCAGTAGACCATATCGGGTTTTTGGATTTCGACATCATCTTTAGTAACTATTATTTATTTAAAATACGTTGCCCCACATTAGGATTATCTCCTGTGTCGTGGGTGTATTTATAAATATACAAGTTCAACACATACCTACACATTACACACAGACCCGGAACAACAATTTGTAAAACACACAAAGAGTCTGTTGTTGTGTGCGGGAATGGATCTCGCGACACATCGCGCGGCAGCTAGTTGCCCAGCCACCGCGCCAATCATGCAGTATTATTTTTAATCGCCATAGAAGATAGCAGGAGCTTTATTAATCCAACACCGTAACGAAAAAAGAAAATCATTTGTTTGGCATTGTAACTGGAGTTCATAAACATAATTTAATATGTTGTTGAACACAAGTATTATTAATATTACTAAAATTAACCAGTGGCTTCACCCGCAGTGCAAGGCTAGTAAAAGGAAGCCTATGTGTTTTTCCAAACTACAATCTATATCTATGACAAATTTCATTGAATGCTGTGCAGTAGTTTTTACGTGAAAGAGTTACAAACATATATATAGTACATACTTACAAACTTTCGCGTTTATAGGTAATATTAGTAGGACCTGTTATAGGTAATGGAATTCAAATGATGATAAAACGCAGTCCCTTTCATGAAAACATATGAAAGACATAAACAGCATCCGAAGCAGGTGACGTCTGGTGTAAACATTATATTGCAATTGCATTACTACGATGCATTCGAATGTGAAATTTAAATGACAATAATTCCATAAATTTTCGCAGCAAACTCGAAACGTACATAAAATCCGTAGCGATAGAAGTAATACAAATTTTCCCATAATATTAAAAAAATCCATTTTCTAATAGTTGGAAGAAAGAAACAAGACAAAAGGATGAAAATCTTAGGCTTGAAAGGAATGATACTACGGCCTCACATAAAACCGGCGTGAAACAACTCTTCGCCGTGTGAGTACGGTTATTGAAGACCCAATCCTTCTCCCTTTCCCAATCCCTAAATATTCAAAAGGTCGGCAACACACCGGTAACTCCGCCGTAATTGCGGGTGTCCATGAACGGCACTGATCGCTGACCACCAGTTAATCCTTCTCAATGCGTTTGTTTAATTGCGTTTTCAACTGGGACTTTGGCTTTGGATGCACTGCCATGGTGCGCATAGGAATAATTTGTCTGAATTTGAGTATATGAATTTACTCAGCGGGCGTCTACAAGTTGGCTTCGGCATCTCGTACACCTTCCACAGGTCCGGCTCAGACTGTTTTCATTTTAACAAAAGTCTTTTTTTTTTTTTTTATGTAATAGGTCGGCAAACGAGCAGACGGATTACCTGATGGTAAGCAATCAGCGCCGCCCATGGACACTCGCAACGGCGGAGTTACGAGTGCGTTGCCGACCTTTTAGGGATTAGGGATTTGGAGATTTAGGGATTGAGGAGGGATTGGGGAAGGGGAAGGATTGGGCCTCCGGTAACCTCACTCACACGGCGAAACACAACGCAGTGGTTATTTTACGCCGGTTTTCTGTGAGGCCGTGGTATCACTCCGGTCGAGCCGACCCATTCGTGCCGAAGCATGGCTGTCCCACACTTACTACTAGTCTACTCCAAACGTCTTAATTTCCCGGGATTGCAGTGCAATAAGGTACCGTGGATTCTGCCTAGAGCAGAAAAAAGAACGGACTGGTTTTTAGTCAAAAAGAGTCTGATGAAGAAGTCATTTGATGATATTCACGCCTTAAAATGCCTTAAAAAATCTTTTATTATAACTTTCGTGAGACATTCTAATTTAAATATTTTGTTTTCGGCTTACTCACGTAATAATTTGACGAGATACTCGACTAGTTTTTTTTTTTAAATTGCAATAAACTAGTGCTTGACTGCGATCCCACCTGAGGGTAAGCAGTGATGCAATCGTTGATGGTAAGGCGCACTAGTTTATTAAGAGCCTATTCACTCTAGCCTTGAAGACACCTAAATTGTATTCGGACGGAAAGACTGCAGCCGGTAAACTGTTCCAATCCGTCGATGTACATCATATAAATGACGAGGCAAAACTCTTAGTCCGGGCCGCAGGTGTCTCAACAACGTAGGGGTGGATATTCGCCGTACGCCAGGATGTCCGAAGGTGAAATTGGGATGGCGGAATCAAATCGTGCAATTCCTGGGCACACTCTCCAAAATGCATCCTGTAGAAAACTGCAAGGCTGGCTATTCTGCGCCTGTGCTCGAGACTTTGAAAATTGGACCCAACCAAATCTGGATCACCAATCAGCCTCTTTGCACGCCTTTCCAATGAATCCAAAGCCGCTAGGTGGCATTTTACAGCACCAGCCCATATGTGGCTGCAGTACTCCACACACGATCGGACCTGAGGTTTATACAACATTAGAAGCTGACTCGGTGTGATTTTGAGATTAGTTTCAAGCCATGCTAGAGGCGCATATTCATGAGCAGCATTACGCCACACGCGACGCTGCGACTGTCGCGACAGTCACCGCGACAGTCGCCGCATGAAAACATAATAATTAATTGAAAAAAAATTCTCTTCTATTCAAAATGTTTTAATTTTGATGGGGAAGAATGACCTTTGTTTTGAAGGGCCATCTAAATAGGGACAAACATAATACTAACTTCGTATTAAATCTCACTCGAAACAACAACTAGTAGTGGTAAAAGGAAAACCCATAAAACGTACCGATGTACAAGCTTTTAACCTCTTCAGATAACAAAATAAACATTCATACCGTTATCGTAATTAATAAACTCTGAGTCACGTAAGCACTTGCTAATTTAAACAGCCGCTACATTTGTATGAGTTATTTATAACATTTGAATTGCACTTGTTGTTTGTCTGTGACTTCCCTCGTGTAAACGTACACCTACTTTTTAAGGTTCTGTAAGTACCTGAAAAGTCCTTAACGGGTACCCCACTAAGATTCCACTTTCCATCTCTCTGTATGTATATCCTGTACTTGTGTTTAGCGTGACTATTTCATACTGTGAAGGTAAACACCATGAGGAAATTTGGACTTATAATTTCTAATTATAAGTTTAAAATTGTCAATCCGCCTTGAGCAAGTGGTGATTAGGTAATGCTTAAATCTTCTCCGTGGGAGAAGAGGCTTTTGGCACTTACCTGTGTATATGTGTGATATGATGGGATGTGTACAGCATTTTTTCTGTCAGCGGGTGCTATATTTTGGACCGTGATAGCTGGGCTACAGTAGTGAAAAAAAGGCGAGGTGATGACGTCACAGCGAGCACCGATGCAGGCTCAGGATCAGAATATGACAGCTGATGAATTTTTTTTCGGCTCGAATAGGTCGGCTTGACCGGAGTGATACCACGGCCTTAAAAATCGAGCGTGAAACCACCACAGCGTTGTGTTTCGCTGAGTGATGTTGCTGGAGGCCCAATCCATCTCCGTCTCCCCATCCCTTCCCAATCTTTAAGAACCCGCAACCCTTAACCCTCTGGTACTCAGGTGTCCATGGGTAGCGCCGATTGCTTACCATTAGTTACCGTCAGCTTGTTTGCCGACTTCTATCATAAAAAAAGATACATAAACATAATGTGACGGAAAAGTGGTTCAAACTCTTTGACATCATGACGTCAATGGATGGTTGTCAAACGTTGCTTAGAGATTGTAAATTTCGTCGTGAATTGTCAACACGAGTTGGTGTAATCGGTAAGGCGTGTGGATTACACCACAGAGACCCCGAGTTCTAAGTCCAAAGCGATTCGGAAGAAAAGGAAGAGGTGAAAAAGAAGAAAAGTGAGTGAAATAGTGAAGTGCAGTGAAACAGTGAAGTGCAGTGAGTTAAGTCAGCGTGAACAGCAAAGTTGTGTCAGTTGGCCGGACTCTGCTGGAGAGGAACGCCGATTACCAAACTCCGTGGACGCTGTCACTTAAGTACAATAGAAAGTCCGAAAACCGGTATTAGTGTTTAATTTCATCCAATCCCGTAACCTAAGCCCGCATAGTCAGGAACGTGACGTCAGGCACGTAACATTTGGTGTCAGAAGTGGGATTGGAGAAAAATGCCGCTAGTGCCGCAGGACGTAAGAGGAGTGAGTACCCGTGCAATGGCAGAAGCGCAGCGTGTGAGGGAAGAGAGTGCTGCAGCTCAAACCAGCGATGCAGAAGCCAAGCCTGTGCAGGTGGATCTACTGCTACAGCTGCAGCAAATGATGGTAGAGCAAGCGCGCCGCCAAGAAGAACAGCTACGGGAGCTGAAAGAAGATCAAGCTCGTCGCCAAGAGGAGCATGCACGCTGTCAGGCGGAGCAGCTACGGGAGCTGAAAGAGGATCAAGCTCGCCGCCAAGAGGAGCAAGCGCGTCGCTTGGAAGACATGCATAAGGATTTCACGAAGGGACTGCAAAAGGCTGTCGAACGGGTACAAGAAGTGGAGGAAGGGTTAGGCAAGTTGGAACATCGCGTCAAGGCGATAGAGGAGAGAGTGGAAGAAGAGATCTCCAAAATCAAGCAGGAAGTGACAAGCCCAAGCCCTTTGAAGAGCCGAAGCCGTCTTGCAGCCGTTTTTGAAACCCCAAATGCGGCTTCAAGTGCAACGAAAGGGCTTAAGATTCCCCATTACGACGGAACAACATCCTGGACCGCGTTCAAGCTACAGTTTGAGACACTTATGGAGGCTTATGGTTGGACTCAGAAGGAAGCACAGTCAGCCCTTACCCTGGCCCTCCGTGATCAAGCGCTCTCAGTGCTGGAAGCTATCGGCGCAAGTGGGGATCTCAGCTTTAGTGCCCTCCTCGACGCACTTGAGGCACGTTTTGGAGACAGCCACCTCGAGCACGTGTACAGAGCGCAATTAAAAGAGCGTACTCAGCGTGCTAATGAGGGCCTACAGCAATGGTCCGTGGAAATCGAGAAACTTGTGCGTCGAGCTTTCCGGTCGACTCCGTCAATGATTGAAGGCACGCTTCTCCAAGCGTTCATTGACGGTATTCGGGACCCCGAAGTACGAGCCGCTGTTCATCTGGGCCATCACAAGAACATGAAAGAAGCTCTGGCCCATGCATTGGAAGTGGAAGCCGTGCGTGGTAACTCCCGTACCTTACGTCTGCGGGAAATGACGACAACGGAGCAGGTACCTCCACGCCGTCTGAACTTCATGTGCTATGGATGTGGAGAGCGTGGGCACATACGGAGCGACTGCCCGAAGAAGATGAACCGCCAGGACGCGGCGGTCTCAACTTCTGACCAGCAGGGAAACTTAAATCCAGCCAGGGCTGCGGGGTGGGCGCTGGCTGGTAGTGGAACAACCCCAACAATCTACATCAAGCAAACCAACGATGGAAATACTCTGGTGATAGACGGTCAAGTAAATGGGAAAAACAGTCAGCTAACATTAGATACTGGAGCTTCAAGGACGGTGATAAATGTTCGGCTGCTCGAGCAAAACATCAGGAAACACCTTAAACCAATTGTTGGCCTACAAATGAAATCAGCTACCGGCCAGTGCATACCGATAAGTGGAAAACTGCATGTAACAATCAAAATTGGGGAACGTGTTTATCGACATGAGGTTATCGTGGCCAAAATTCTGGATGACTGCATCCTGGGACTTGACTTCCTGCAAGGGCACCAGTGTAACATCGACTTAAAATCTGGAGTTTTACTATGTGGAACTGAGGAAATTCCGATGAAGGGTGGAACCCTGGGAAAAGTTTGCTGTTTAAGAAGAACTGTTCTTGCACCAAAATCACAGACTCTCGTACCAATCGCATTACCTAGGAGGAAGGAAGGAAGTTTACCTCGAAGGTGCGCTGTGATTGATAAATCGGAACACGTGAATTCATGGCTACCGGCAAGAACTGTCGTGGGGTCATCTGATGTTAACCGCATTCCGGTATTCAACTTCAGTGATTCAGAAATTACGATTGAAGAAGGAGAGCCTGTGGGCGTATTGGAAGAAGTGGCCTGGATAAGAAAATGCTCGGAGAATCTTGTGAAGAAGGACAGTACGGGAATTGACTTTGTAACGAAAATCTTAGACGAAAACAAAAGTCTGACAAAAGTGGAGACTATGAAAGCTAGAAATTTACTTCTTCGATTCTCTGATGTGTTTTCAAGAAGCGATGGTGATATTGGCCGAACTGGTTTGGTGAAGCATAAAATAAACACAGGTGATACAATGCCAATTCGTCAAAGGCCCAGACGCATACCATTCGCTCGTGAGAAAGAGGTTGAAGAAATGATTGACGATATGAGGAAAAATGACGTGATAGAGCCCTCTTCTAGCCCTTGGTGTTCACCTGTCGTGCTTGTCAAGAAGAAAGATGGTTCAACGAGGTTTTGCGTAGACTATCGACGATTGAATGATGTAACCAAGAAGGATAGCTACCCATTACCAAGAATCGATGACACACTTGACACATTGAGTGGCATGAAATGGTTTTCAACGCTCGATCTGAAAAGCGGCTATTGGCAGGTGGATTTGGATCCCAAGGACAAGGAAAAGACCGCATTCTCAACTGGGAAGGGACTCTGGCAATTTAAGGTGATGCCATTTGGATTATGCAATGCACCGGCAACTTTTGAGCGTTTGATGGAACAGGTGCTGGCGGGACTGCTGGGAGAAACCTGCCTAGTTTACCTCGATGACATCATCATTGTTGGACGGGATTTTGACGATCATCTAAGGAAATTGGAAAAGGTACTCGACAAGCTGCGTGGAGCAAATTTAAAGTTGAGTCCAAAGAAATGCTCTTTCTTCAAGCGCGAAGTGAATTATCTAGGACATGTTATTTCTGAGAGAGGAATTGAGACTGATCCAGCCAAGACTGTCGCTGTCAAGGAATGGCCAACACCTAAAGACAAAACGCAAGTTCGGGCATTTCTTGGATTGTGCTCGTATTATCGGCGGTTTGTGAAAGGATTCTCGGACATTGCCAAGCCATTGCATCGATTGACAGAGGATAAACGTGCCTTTGTTTGGGACGAGGATTGTGAGCAAGCCTTTCGAGAACTAAAAGAACGGCTTTGTAACACACCAATTCTCGGATATCCCAGCGCGAAAGGAATATTCGTAGTTGATACGGATGCCAGCAACATTGGAATAGGAGGTGTCCTTTCACAACGCGATGGTGAGCAGGAGAAGGTTATTGCTTACTTCAGCAAGTCACTATCCAAGCCAGAGAGGAATTATTGCGTGACCAGGAGGGAATTGCTGGCCGTAGTCAAAACTCTGCACCATTTCAAGAAGTATTTACTGGGACGGAAATTTTTGATCAGAACAGATCACGCTGCTTTGAAATGGCTGCTTCAGTTTAAGGATCCCGAAGGCCAAGTAGCCAGATGGTTGGAACAACTTCAGGAATTTGACTTTGAAATCGAACATCGCGGAGGAAGAATTCATGGCAACGCAGATGCATTATCGAGACGCCCATGCGTGGAAGATTGCAAGCATTGTGCCAAGAAGGAAACTGCTTTTCTTAAGGTGATAAGGACTGATACTGTTGACGAGGCATGGGGAGATGATGCGATGAAATTAGAACAGGAAAGAGATGCAGATATTAAACCAATACTGGAGTGGCTACGAAGTGGTAACAAGCCAAGTTGGAGTGACGTCGCCCAATATAGCGCGGTAACGAAAGGTTTATGGGCACAGTGGAAAAGCCTTACGCTGCATAATGGACTTCTGTGCAGGAAATGGGAATCAACAAACGGCAAGGACGAGCATTTGCAATTGGTGGTGCCTCGTTCAAAAATAAGGGATGTATTAAAAGCGTTCCATGATGGATCTTTTGGAGGACATTTGGGAATTAGGAGGACTTTGGTGAAGATCAAGGAGAGGTTTTATTGGCTGCATTGCAAATATGACGTCGAAGATTGGTGCCGGAAATGCACTAGTTGTGCAGCTGTCAAGGGTCCACAAACAAGAAGCAGAGGGGCGATGAAAATCTACAATGTTGGTATGCCTTGGGAGAGAATAGCCTTAGACATCGCTGGACCATTTCCAATCACTGATTCGGGCAATCGCTACGTTTTAGTGGTTATGGATTATTTTACAAAATGGCCGGAGGTCTTTGCCATACCGAATCAAGAGGCAGTAACTGTAGCCACGAAGTTGGTAAACGAGGTATTCACCCGATTCGGAGTGCCCTTGGAGATGCACAGTGATCAAGGACGGAACTTTGAATCCCAAGTTTTTCAGGAAACTTGTAAACTTTTGGGAATCCATAAGACTCGAACGACCCCTTATCATCCACAGTCAGATGGAATGGTCGAACGCTTCAACCAAACATTGGAGCGACACTTAGCAAAGGTGGTTGACAGCCATCAGAGAGATTGGGACACTTACATACCTCTCTTCTTGCTTGCCTATCGGACTGCTGTACATGAAAGTACCGCAAAGACGCCTGCATTTGCAAATTTTGGAAGGGAATTGAGATTACCGGCAGATCTTATATCGGGCTGTCCACCTGGCGACTCTCGCACCGAGTTTAGCGATTACATAAGCGAGTTAAGGGCAAAAATGTTGGACATTTATGAGCAGATCAGGGAGGCCGGTTTTCAAGCTAGTGATCGCGCAAAGACGCGCTATGATCGACGAGCCAATTCTGTTGGGTTTGAAGAGGGGTCATTGGTCTGGCTTCATAATCCAGTCAGAAGGAAGGGAAAATCTCCGAAGCTGCAACCGAGTTGGGAAGGTCCTTATGAGATAGTCACGAAGATTCAGACTTCAAGGAGCCCTTTGAAAGTTGTCCATATAGACAGGTTGGCGAGGTATTACGGCAGCAACGATGCTCGGGACGAGCGAATCTAAGAGGGGGGCAGTGTGACGGAAAAGTGGTTCAAACTCTTTGACATCATGACGTCAATGGATGGTTGTCAAACGTTGCCTAGAGATTGTAAATTTCGTCGTGAATTGTCAACACGAGTTGGTGTAATCGGTAAGGCGTGTGGATTACACCACAGAGACCCCGAGTTCTAAGTCCAAAGCGATTCGGAAGAAAAGGAAGAGGTGAAAAAGAAGAAAAGTGAGTGAAATAGTGAAGTGCAGTGAAACAGTGAAGTGCAGTGAGTTAAGTCAGCGTGAACAGCAAAGTTGTGTCAGTTGGCCGGACTCTGCTGGAGAGGAACGCCGATTACCAAACTCCGTGGACGCTGTCACTTAAGTACAATAGAAAGTCCGAAAACCGGTATTAGTGTTTAATTTCATCCAATCCCGTAACCTAAGCCCGCATAGTCAGGAACGTGACGTCAGGCACGTAACAATAAGTTATTATGACACGAAACCTTTCATGTGCTAGTTTGACTCCCACTCGCCATTTTGAGATACTTTAATCATCTTTATTATAAATTATTTTTCTTTCTTTCTTCTTTAACATAAGTTTTTTTAAGGGGCAGGAAAAACACACTCTGGCTTTTCTGGCCTGGGAAGGGAGGCAAAAGGAAGAGCGAGACTCTTACTAAATCAAATCCACTACGTCCTTCCTCCTGCTCCGAGGCGGGGCCAAGGTACAACATCACCCCGCAGCCCTGGCTGAATCGTGAGTGCCTTTAGGTTGCAGACTGATCACGGGATGATGTGATCTGATACAGAGCCAGGTACCGCGCGTTAAGCAAAAAGGAACTCTAAAACAAAACAGCATTGAAACCGTGCTTGTGGTGTGAATAAAACTAAAATTATGCGTCTGACGCGCTGCACATGTTTTCAAATAAAACGCTAAGTGCCTCATTACGGACAAAAAGTGTACAATACTAGCCCACGGGCACCTACCACAGAGGTAAAGAACATTTTTTAGCAAATGAAAATTGCATTCCGTTTTAATAAAAATAAATAAATAAAAAAGAATAATAAAATTATATTATGTACCTATGAAGGTACTATAAATAATTTTAATATTCTCTGTTGGTTATTTTTTTTAATCTTGATGCAACAAAAAAAAGACGGACTTTATGCCATAGGCATTCTTACCAGTCAACCTTAGGGTGATAAAGAATTAGCCGGAGCTGCGGGGTAAGCGCAATGAGGCACCGCGACCTCGGCCCAGAGCAGGAGAAGGAACGGGGGGTTTTTAGTCAGTAAGAGTCTGACACTCTCTCTCGCCTTACCCTGGGCGGGAGAAGTCATTTGATGATTTTCCCCTCACAAAAAAAAAGGTGACAAAGAAAGATTAATGTTTTATGTGATGCTGTGGCAAAAGAGCTAAATAATTACTTGATGGTAAGCAATCGGCGCCGACCATGGACGTCTGCAAGACCCGAGGAGTTGCAATTAGCCGCTTTTAGATAAAGAGTTTTTGGGTAAGCATTAGGGGTGGGCAAGGATTAGGTCTCCGGTAACCTCAATCACACGGTGAAATTAATAATATTAATAATTAATTAATTAATAATCACAAATTTATTTATAATGAAATTTAGCATTGTGCTATGAGTGTTTCACGCCGGTGTTCTATGCGGCCTTGGTATCTCTCCAGTCCGAGTCTTAGATCTTTAACACTTAATTTGAATATTCCCTTATCACAGAGATAATGTTGAAGTTCACTTCTTCCAATCTCTTTAGAAAATTACATTATTTTGTGCTAATAAAATATATCATAATAAGCTACCAATATGTAATAAAGTAAATTATAACAAAACCATAAATATGCCTATAACATTTCAACATTTAATAAATGTCACTTCAATTCAAAAATAGAAACGAAAATGGCGCCATAAAAATTCAGCCATCTTGTTTTTAAGAAAGGTTGAATACCTCGTCATAGCGAGCAACCTGCTGCAATGTATAATTTAAATCAATAAAACTTGCAAGCTGGCTATTTAAGGCAGTTGCAAATTAATGTTTAATAATGTTCCAAGGGAAGGGAGGCCGTTATTTAGGGATTTATTTTCGGAATTTTTGTAACGCGATTTCTACATTACACAACGTTTTTGATTAGGTACTTATAAACCTAAGGAGGATAGGACTGTCCTGGTCCGAAATTAAGCACATAGCCCAAGATAGGTCCAAATGGAAAAATACTGTGGAAGCCCTCTGCCCCACCTAGGGGATATAGGAACTTAATATATACTTATAAACCTAAGGACAGTATTTTTGGTGTATTTTTGACATTTTACAGATTGTCATTTAAGAAATATTAGTATAGTTGTGTTTTGCTGTGTGAGTGAGGCTACCGTAGGTTGATCCTTTCCTTCTTCCCATACCTCCCCAATCGCTAAATCTCTAAAAGCCCTTATCCCTAATAGGGCAGCAACGCACTTGCAATTCCTCGGGTATTGGAGCCAAGGACCTTGAGCGAAGCCGATTGCTTACCATCAGGTAACCGGCCAGTTGGTTTTCCAAAATTTCTCTTAACAAAATAAGACAGGTGCATTTACAAACATACAAATTCATATACAAGCCACCCAGAGCCGAAACAACAATCTGTGTGTTCCGGGAATCGAAGCCGCGACACGTTGCAAAGCAGCCAGTTGCCCGGCTTCTACGTCATCTGTGGAGTCTTTAAAGAACCTTATTCGAAAATACGACATAAAAAAGACTTTCGAATTACTAGGTATTAAATATTGTCCAAAATCATGGCTACCCTACAATACTGATCGCACACGGTACCCATAAAAAGGATTGATGACGTTTTAAGCATTGAAATATTAAGCAAATTCCCGACGCCTCGCCCCGTCCGATTTCAGAGAAATCGTTACACGAACGGACGAACAAAGTATGTAAGTATAGTGTAGTATTTTTATTTTAACACTTAACAATTCATTGGCCACTAAACGCCATAGTTATAACAAAATGGTCGCGAAATTAATTTACATTGCCGGCCATTATGTAAACCGGATTTTTTGGTTTTTCATTTTTTTACGATAACAATAATTATATCGTGGTCGCAGGCAACCGCTTCTCATGCATGAGACTTCTATCGCTCAAGCTAAGACAAGAGAGAGGCCGAAACCGCGGTGCCTCATTTTTTTTTCTTTAATAATATCGTTGCCCCACACTAGGATTTAGAGTGGGGCAACGTTTTAAGCGTTTTGAGCGCTTACAAACATACAATTTCACATTCAAATGACACCCAGACCCAAAACAACAATTTGTGGATCACACAAAATGTTACGAACGAAATTGTTAGTGCTTAGGTCTTGCATGTATGATTACTTTAATTTTGTACCTTATTGTTGGTCTATTGGGTGCATTTTGTAGTGGAAGCTGCAATTATACCTCGTTTTCGCTTCGGTCTTAGTTACCTATGTAAATGTAGGAAACTTTTTTTATGTGTTAAAATGGGAAATAAGGCAACAAATGAGCATCGTGGATATAGTATGGTATTTTTTTTTTGTGAGGGGAAAATCATCAAATGACTTCTCCCGCCCAGGGCCGGGCAGGAGGGAGTGTCAGACTCTTACTGACTAAAAACCCCCCTGTTCCTTCTCCTGCTCTGTGCCGAGGTCGCGGTACCTCATTGCGCTTACCCCACGCTAAAAACGTTGCCCCACGCTAAATCCTAGGGCGGGGCAACGTTTTTAGCGTTTTGAGCGCTTACAAACATACAATTTCACATTCAAATGACACCCAGACCCAAAACAACAATTTGTGGATCACACAAAGTGTTGTTTCGTCCGGGAATCGAACCCGCGACACGTCGCACGGCAGCCAGTTGCCCAGCCACCGCGTGAAGTCATTCAGTATCCTGGACAGATAAAAATTAATTATTTGGTTTAGCATAACGATAATTTACAACCATAACATATTATAGAACAAAATATACGCGTAGCAAACGAAAAACTAAATCAAAATGCTATTTAAACTAAGAAACTTAGATTTTATAAAAAAATATCTACTCTCACTCAGTTTTACCCGCTGCCCTGCTCCATTTGATCGTAGCGTGATGTTTTATAGCCTATAGCACTTGGAAACATTGTAGCTATCTATCAGTGAAACAATTTTGGCAATCCGACCAGCGGTTCCAAAGATTACCCCCTACATATAAACTTACAAACTTACAAATTTTACCTCTTTATAATATTACTATAGACTATAGAATCTAATATAGATAACATAAAAACTCTTTATAGAAAACCATAAAAGCAACAACACACTAACGAAACTATTTGAAACGAAATTCAAATAGAATGAACAATAGAATCTAGAAACCACATAACAGCAACTATTACTGTTATAATTGCGAATGGCGAGTGTAATCCCGTAGTACCAATATGCAATATTATAGTTGAGAATACCAAGAGCTATATTGCTAGTCAACTGGCTCCAGTATTGGAGTCAGTAACTTATATTACTGTGCCGCTAGCAATGAAAGTAGTTTCAGGTTCAAACTTTAGAACTGAAACGATAGTGGCCGGACGGTGCATTGTTTTTTATTTATATTTTATTCTGAGTGAATATTTTTGAATGGTAAGTATCGTGGGCCGTTCAAAATTTATTAAAAACTTACAAGTCTCACGCGGTTTCATCCGCTGTTCAGCTCCTAAAGATAGCGTCCGTAGCGTGATGTTTTATAACCTATAGCACTCAGGAACATTGTAGCTACCTATCAGTGAAAAAATTTTGGCAATCCGACCAGCGTTTCCAAAGATTACCCCCCTACATACAAACTTACAAATTTTACCTCTTTATAATATTAGTATAGACTTACAAGTCTCACGCGGTTTCACCCGCTGCTCAGCTCCTAAAGATAGCGTCCGTAGCGTGACCTTTTATAGCCTATAGCCTTCCTCGATAAATGGACTAACAAACACAAAAACAATGGTTCAATTCAAACCAGTAGTTTCGGAGATTAGCGTGTTCAAACATACAAACAAAATCTTCAGTATTATAATATTTTATTACCTATTAACAATTCGCTCCCACCCGCTTCATAGTACGCGTATAAAAGCTGTAGCGTCTAAAGTGATAGCTTGACGTAAAACAGCTAATCATTGTAGCTATCTATCGGTGAAAGAATTTTGGAAATCCGAGCGGCGGTTCCAAAGATTACCCAGGAAATCGTGCAATGAATAATAAAATTAACTATTAATTATTATAATTGAGTTACTTGGGTTTCAAGCTTTTTTTTTACGGTAGATCCTTATTTTTATTTTTTTAATAAGTAAGAGGACATTTTGTTTCGCGGAAAAAAATTTTCTTTGACTTGATTAAACGTTTTAGGTGTACTTATTTAGTTTTATTTCTATGTATTCCTAAGCAACATGTTTTAATATTGAGATCTTATAATAAATAAATAATATTGAAAATACATAAATTTATATATATTCTTTTATAGACTAACAATCAAATCCATACTTGTATCGGGACGAGTGCGTCGATTCGTCCAGATTAACTTATACATACTGTGCAACTTGCGTCGTGTGAGAGGAGTTATCGAAGGTCTCCCCATTCCAATCCTGATCCCCAAATTCTCCAATCCTTACTTACCATCAGGTCCATAAATCCATATCATATACCATACACTATCCACGATGCTCATTTGTTGCCTTATTTCCCATTTTAACACATAGAAAAAGTTTCCTACATTTACATAGGTAACTAAGACCGCGCGAAAACGAGGTATAATTGCAGCTTCCACTACAAAATGCACCCAATAGACCAACAATAAGGTACAAAATTAAAGTAATCATACATGCAAGACCTAAGCACTAACAATTTCGTTCGTATGAGGTAACAAATTGTAACAATAATTTCAGAGATAGGTTATATTAGAATAATATCCAACATTCAAATAAATTCACTACATACGCCGAATATGCTCGCAAGTCTCTTTTGCGTCTTAATATTGTAAAGGGGTTGTCTGATGAGCTGAAAGTTGCAATAATTGTCAGAGGTATTACTGATGCTCAAATAAAGGCCGCGGCAACGAATGCGAAACTGAAGATAACGGATGTAGTCGAATTTTTGTCGGTATATGTCAAACGTAATTCCTGAAGGACTCGACTTGCTGCGTCAAGTTTTGAGTACTCTCACGAATGCCGGTTTTTCGGTTAATTAAAAAAAAATGTACCTTCTTAGATACCTAAATAGAGTACTTAGGACGGGTAGTTGGTAATGGTCAGGTGCGGCCGAGCCCAAGAAAAATTGAGGCACTGGTAAATTCACCAAAGGTATTTTAGGCGTTATGTCGCGGGTTACGCTTCTAAAACAGCCTGCATTGCCAGACTTATAAGGTATTGCCTTATAAGGTCCTACGTGTATTGTCACATCATCGCTACGAGCTGGAATTACTGGCCGGTTCGTATGGCAAAAAGAACCAGGCAGCTGCCGAGCATATGGTACTCTGGCGTGGCGAGTGGACGCCTGACGCATGCTCCGCTTTCTTCGAGGCTGGTAAGCAACTGGAAGACTTCTGTTTGGCCTGGACCCCTGGTTCATGGCTTCTGTTTGGTCTAAGCCTCTGGCTGATGGCTTCTGTATTGGCCTGGACCCCTGGTTCATGGCTTCTGTTTTGTCTAAGCCTCTGGCTGATGACTTCTGTATTGGCCTGGACCCCTGGTTCATGGCTTCTGTTTGGTCTAAGCCTCTGGCTGATGACTTCTGTTTGGCCTGGACCCCTGGTTCATGGCTTCTGTTTGGTCTGAGCCTCTGGCTTATGACTTCTGTTGGGCCTGGACCTCTACTTCATGGCTTCAGTTCTGGTTAAGTATTTTAGCTCCATTACTATCTATTTATCTTGGCTAGTATTCTACTTCGGAATTCCATTGCTTGGAATGCTACTTTAATCCATTTATGTCTTAATGCTTAGAATCACATTTTGCTTTGTAATCCTTTTAGTCTGAAGCACTTAAATTTACATTTTAATTACCTAAGAAACCTTCCTATTAGTTGGTTGGGTACCTGATGGTGGGAGTGCACGCTCACTATCGCGTACTTAACAAAATCAGTTCAAGTTTTTGCTATTCTCCGGCTTCAGACACATAACTGTCGTAAGAAAACAAATGTACAGAATGTGTTGTTGCTACTTTGCAGATGATTATAGCCAGTCTGAGGATGACGGCCAATCTGGTGATGGTGGACCTGGTGATGACACAGGGCAAGATGCGGTCGAGGACGCCTCGCTGTCAGGAACGGCCGTCTTAGCGAAACCTCCTTCTCCAAAACCTGGTACGAGCGGTGCGCTATAAAAGGCAGCGCTCGGTTAGCAACAGGTTCATTTCGATTCTCGTCGGCAACGCTTCAACATCGCTACCCTCGTTTTGCGTTTGTATATTGGTCGCTATTCTTATTGTAATTTTGCTGATTATTTTATATTAGCAGTAATTAGTGTTCAGATGTCTATTTTATAGAATTATCCTTGTTGTGATTTCAATTATTAAACTTTGTTGTTAATTAAATAATTTAGGAAGTAATTGTGCGTTATTTTTTAAAAAACTATCCTCACTACTGGTTTCTAAGAATATATATATATATTTTGTATTTGGTTAATTCCTGTTTTATGCCAACAAAATATGTATGATGTGGTTCCCCATAATTGGAGGAACACAAGGCAGTATTAATGTAACATATTGATTAACATAGCATGTAAGTGTATCTTCTGTCGGGAATCCAAATTAATAAATAAATAAATAAATAAATTCCGGTACTACAAAGCGACTTGCCAAAACGGATTATCTGCAAACGATGGCGAATGATAAGCTATCGGGCTGCACATTATAAACGGGAATATTCTCCAATGCACTTTATTGTATGCTTTTTGAAAAGGTGTGGTGACCCGAAGGCTATGGCATGCATGAGGGTACGAAACTTGGCAAGTACCAATGTAACTCTTCCGAGTTATATATATATATGTACCTAGTACTATATATGTACAACGACTAAGGTGACAAAAGTGCATGGAGTGCTTAAGGTCGATTATTGACTAACAGGTTTTGCATAACGCTTCATTGACCACTTACTAGATGGCGCTGCTTATAAATGAGAATAACAGTGCAAAGCTTGAAAACTTTACATTGCAGAAGCCCACAATAAGGTTATTAATGGTTAAAATAATAATTAAGAAACCATAGTATATTTATATTCAAATAGACATAAGTGTTAGATATAAGTGTTTAAGTGTCCCACACTTCGGCCATGCTTCGGCACGAATGGGTCTGCTCGACCGGAGTGATACCACGGCCTCACAGAAAACCGGCGTGAAACAACCACAGTGTTGTGTTTCGGCGTGTAAGTGAGGTTACCGGAGGCCCAATCCTTCCCCTTTCCCAATCCCTCCCCAGTTCCTAAATCTCCAAATCCCTAATCCCTAAAACGTCGGCAACGCACTCGTAACTCCTATGTTGCGGGTGTCCATGGGCGGCGCTGATTGCTTACCATCAGGTAATCCGTCCGCATGTTTGCTGAGCTATCAGATTAAAAAAAAATATATGTAATTTTCTTATTTCCGAGTACTTAATACAGCGCCATCTAAGTTTAAGAAGTAAAAAGTAAGTATCCAAATTAAGTAATCTAATTGTCAGATGGCGTAAAAAATAAATAATAGACATTATTGTCTATTATTCACTATTCACTGATAGTAATTTCTATGATTGTTTTTTTTTATTAAAAGTATTAGGAAAACAAAAACTTAGACTACAAATTATAAAGCAGTAGAAACCAATTGAATGTTTTCACATATTTATATTTTATTAGTTTATCTATTTACGAAATAATTAAAACGGAACACTACATCTTAAAAAATACAATTTAAGAAGTTAAATTAACACGATTATTGAACCCCATCAAACCAGCGTCGAGAAAGAGCTCGCGTGAATACCTGTGGCTTACTGGCAAATAGGTCAAGTTCTGATAGTAACACCACTGGCAAATGCTGAAGGAAGATATCGTCAGGATACCTGGACTTAATTTCTATTGACCAATCTGCCTTGAGCAAGCGTGGTGATTGATGCTCAAACCTTCTCCGTGTGAGAAGAGGCTTTGCTCAGCAGTGGGCACTTATTACAGGCTGATGATGTGTGATATGCACTTTATTGAGAAAGTCGTGGTGGCCAGGAGATTATGGCGCCAGCTTCTTAATTATGCATGAGGATGCGGGTTCGAGACCTGGAAATTGCTAATGCGACTTTTTTTAATTCTCTGTCTAAGAAGCTCAGCGTTAGGCACTTATAAATTATGGGTTTTTTCATAAACGAAAGTATAACTAGTGTGTAGGTACATTTGTTTGAGATAAGTTTTTTAAGATGCAAAATTATACAAGGTCTTCTCCTGCCCTGAATGAATGTCAGACTCTTATTGACTGAAAGCCATCCCGTTCCTTCTCTGGCTCCAAGCCAGACAGTTGTAAATCATTGCATTTGCACCCAAATAAAGAATTATTGAGTTTTCGTACAACCACAGAGTCTAGACAGGTTTGACCTCAATAATCTCAAGGTCTCTAGGACCCAATGAAAAGAGAGTTAATTAATTAATACAAATGAACGATTTTATCAAAATTTAAAAGAATGAATAATGCTATTTAACGACAAGAATTAGAATTTACACTTGGAAACCCACGAGCCATTGAAAGGGATCTGAAACATTGAATTAAAACATAATCCTTAACATCCCTTAACCAGCCTTCCAGAAAAACAGATAAAAGTAATGATTAATCCCGAAAGAGGGGATGGAGCTTCAAAAAGGGAGGATTTTTAATATAATTTCGTGGCAAGACAAATGGTTAACGACGAAGAAAAATTACAACACTCGTTATATCGATGGTTTCATTAATTTCTGACACCCAATTTCCCTTTCGCGGGCTAAGAATGTTATTTAGGCCGGGAGCCACCGATCACTCTTTTATATTCATCATAAATACAAGGTTTAACGACCCGGTTCACGCACGAGGTGGGAAACCTTATGAGTTTTGATATCTGAAGTTATTGTATTTTTTCCATTTACATATTGTGAGTATTCTGTGATTGAATATGTTATATGAACGTGCTTATGTGTGATAGGTACTTGTGTGGTATGATTTTTTGTATTTGCCTCAGTTCAATAACTCGGGAATGATTATAAGTAAAGATAATTTAATATTTACATAATTATTTTACTTTGAAACTGAAGGTTTTCAGCTTGTTTCCAGGTACGATATTAAAATTCCTATTACTGAACTTTGCTTACGAATATTTATTTTCTAACTGAGCATTCGTTACAGCTTTTAGCTTTAGTTTTTCAATCTCCATACGTTTTTTTTTTTTAAAGTCTTATTGGTTTTTATATTTAGTTGATGTTAAGCAATCAGCCCCACCTATGGGCATTAATAATACCGAAGAGTGCGTAAACGTGCTTTGCCAGTATCCCGAATGAGGTTATTAAAGGTCAAACACAAAGAGGATCCATGGAGATTGGAGTTCCGGTAACGTCACTTCGTTCAATGCATATTTATCAACTCGGCTTGTTTGTTACAAGCAGTGAGTTGATAAATTTAGTAATAAAAACTTATGAAAATACGGAATCAGTAGAAAAGAAAATTTCTTTCACCTCGTGTACACACAACACATCACGCCAAGGACTAAATAGACCCTGTTCGCAATCACGAAATATGGAAAACGAATGAAGTAGGTCACATAGTAAGTTATTAATTAAATGGCAAGCAACAGATGTGGTTTCTGTCGTGACCTTGTTTCAAGCTTATTCATTATAACTTACCAACTCGAGTTTATGCGTGTAAACACTTTTATGAAGTCATAATACAATCCTACTAATGTTACAAACGCGATATTTTATAAACATTAGAGGTCACAAACGGGTCTGCTCAACAGGAGTCTCTATAAACCACGGCCTCACAGAAAATCTGCGTAGACAAACAGTGTTTTGTTTCGCCTTGTGAGAGAGGTAGCCAGAGGCCCAATTGTTCGTTTCCCCCATTATCTCTAAATCTGCAAAACCCCTTATCCCCAAAACGCCGGCAACGCACTTGCAACCATTCTGATGTTGCGAGTGTCTATAGGCAGCGCAAATTGCTTACCATCAGGTAAGAAGTTTGCTCGTATGCCGCCGTTTCACATAAAAAACTCGTACAAATTCATTAACAAGCTCTACTAGTTTCAAGTTACAATGGGACTTCATATTCAGTAAATTATTATTATTAATAAATTTAGTATGACTTATATTTTTAGGCACAAAATAGGTCGTTTGAACTGATTTACGTCAATAAACAAAATATTTTCTCTTTATAGTATTAGAAAAGATTCCTATAAAATTTGAGGCAAAACCTTGTTTGTCTCAATTCTTATTATTCGTTAAAAAAAGAAAATATTCCTTACAAAATCCCTCCGTAATCCTCTCAGCTAAACAGCAAAATTTTAAATACCAATTTTTAATTACTTCACAAACAAAACTCCCTTTGTCTTGTTAAATTTTACCGGCTTAGTGAAACTAACGATCGCGGCTGTCGCGTTAATCCTAGGATTAACAAATTTATTGTTAATCTTAACAAAACGGATTTCACGATACTAAACAGTAAGAGGAGTAACATCTTGTTCAACATATTTCATAAAGGAAAGTTTCAGCTGGGATTAAAATTGACTAAGGCAGCGGTTCTCAAACTTATTTGGCGGTTGTAAGGGGCAAAATTTTGCACAGAACCAGAATAAATTTGAATTAAAAAACTTTTTAAGGACAAGCTTTAGACAGGCGAGTCGATAATCATTTTAGGGGTTTTTAGGGATTAAAAGTTAATTTATACAGCTTAACATGTCTACACAAAATTTTAAAAAATTCAAGGATTATTCTCGCAAATCCCCTACGAAGACTTTGCGAAACCCCAGGGCTCCGCTGACCAAACTTTGAGAATGGCTGACCCACAAAGATCAGTGCATATAATAATATGCACACATCTACAACGGCTACGTACAAGTTGGTTCCAATCTCTATATTAATGAAGCAATAAAATATATAAATAATATTTTTAGCCTCTTCTCACATGGAAAAATTTTTAGAATTAATCAACCCACTAGCTCAAATTAAAAGCTCAGAAGAGATGATTAGTGTCAATGTGTAGCTAGCTCTTAGACTAAAAGTAGGTTTGGTTATAATGACAAACATTCATAATGTTTCACTCAGAAGAGAATGTATTTGACATAATACTTAATACTGTATTTTTTCTTTCATTTAATGCGCGATCATTGTTTCATGTCATTTGATTTCGAGGTCAGAAGTAACTTTAAATTGTTTTTGAGAAATCAACACAAACTCTTGATAATATGTTTACTATTTTGCCTTCATCATCCACCTTCTTACAGAATACCAGCGTGAAGAGTTCTCGGTGCCCCAACTAGGTAATTAATTGAGCAGTTATGTGTGGGAGAGCTATGCTTCGGCACGAATGGATACCACGGCCTCACAGAAAATAGGCGTGCAGCATCACTTACGTTGTGTTTCGCCATGTGAGTGAGGTTACCGAAGGCCCAGTCCTTCCTACTAAGAATTTGAGGATTGAAAATAGGGTCCCTCCCTAGTTCTTAAATTCTCTTATTCACTCGTAGTAACTTGTTTGGTATTAAGAATGTCCAAGGTCTTCGTATCAGGTAAACTGACTGATCGTTTGCCGACCAATGCCATAAAAAAGGACAACACAGTTATTAAAAAAACATTCCCAATAAAAAGCAAGCAGTTTCCTATCACAAAAACGTCACGTGATATGCCCAACAAGGGGTGACCGATTGCTTACCATCAGGTGATGATATCAGTGAGATAGACCTACCCTATCACATAAAAACGAGAATAGCTGAAAAAATTATACCATGGATTTTTTTCCATTATCCAAGAAAATTAATTAAGGTGCCAAGCTTGGTCGGGGTAAGCGCAATGAGGCACCGCGACCTCGGCCTAGAGCAGGAGTAGGAACAGGGGGGTTTTTAATCAGTAAGAGTCTGACATTCCCTCCCGCCTGACCCTGGGCGGGAGAAGTCATTTGATGATTTTCCCCTCACAAAAAAAAAAGCTAGGTACAAATGGTTCGGCTCGACCAGAATGGTACCACGGCCTCAAAGAAAAGCAACGTGAAACAAGCACAGCTGTGTGTTTCGCCGTGTGAGTGAGGTTACCGGAGACCTAATTCATTCACCTCCCACATCCCCCCATCCCCAATCGCGAAATCTCCGAAATCTTAATCCCCAATAACACGCACTAGTAAACTCACATGTTGCGGGTGTTAGGGCGCAACCGATTGCTTACCATCAAGGAATCCATCTGCTCGTGTCCCGTCCTATCATATAAAAGAAACGAAACAAACTGAAAATATTTATACTCAAGAATTTTTCCATTACATAAATTCATTGTAACATTGTCTCCCGCTCTTGGCGACACGTGGCATTCAACATGGCGGCGCGGGTAAAATAAAACAAGCGGGTAAAATAAAAACAGTGGGTAAGGGTAAATAGTTTCACTCTCGACCGAGCTGATAGTGGCCGATATAACTAGTAATACATTTTGATTTACCGACCCAGCGATACGAAGCAAAGTTTTTTTCTCGTTATAAAATATTTAAGTTATAAGCGAAAGCGATTAATGACTAAAATTAGTAGATAATTTAGAACGGGATGGTTTTCATTCAGTAATAGTCGGACACTCATTCAGGATGGGAAAAGACCTTGAATGATCTTACACCTTAAAAATAGTCTCAAACATAATATGTCCAATAGTTATACTTTCGTCCATTCCACATGACAACAACAAAAATTTTCTCAAATTTTCATCATCTTATAAGCTTACGAGTATAAGTGCCCACTGCCGAGCAAAGGCATCTTGTCACACGGAGAAGGTTTGAGCATTAATCACCACGCTTGCTCATGGCGGATTGGCGGTTTCAAACGTCAATTTTAGACTAAGTCACATTTGCTCTGCTTATTCTGTTTTTTTGGCATAGGTCAGCAAACGTGCAGTCGGATATGGTAAGTAATCGGAGTCGTTCATAGACACTCGCAATACTAAAGCAGTAAAAACAAGTGCGTAGCCGGCCTCTTGTGGTTTTAAGGATAAGAAAGTAACTCTGTCTGTCTGTCTTTTCTTCATGCCTAAACTACTGAACCTATTTGTGTGAATTTGGTACAGACATAGTTTGGAACTCGAGAAAGGACATAGGACAGTTTTAAAACCAAAAATCTACAATAAGTCACTATTCCACGCGAACCGATTCGCGGACAAAAGCTAGTTTACAATAAAACAGCATACTTTCATTTTCAGAAAGTAAAAGTCGTTTGTAAGGATATCGCTTATAACTTGTACCCAAAGCTCTTGTTATAATGGTGCACACCATTACTCTTTTTGATAGATTTTTGGGCAATTTATTATGTATTTCACCACGCCATAGCCGACTATTTTCCGATATTTGAGTATTTTTTATCATTAGATATGACGCCGTGTGCCGCTCTGTTTTTCTAAAGTCTTCGTCCAGACGAAAATTTTAATACATTGTTTAGATTAACGTACCTACTTATACTCGGAATTTTAATTCCATTCCAGATTTGACAATTTCAGTGTTGAAACGTTATGACACGTAATAAATAGTGACGTTGCGAAATTATTCGATATGGAAACCGAATATTTCTGAATTGATTCCTCTCGTTTATAAATTTACTCTCGTAAACTAAGTTTATCAAGAATTTTGACACTTAATTAACGATCTGAGACTTTTCTTTTGTAATTGTGTGTGAAATTAATAGAAAATGTGATCATGAAGGAACATTACAAATAAAACAGACATTTTATAAATTGTTGCCGTCATCACTATCGCTATCGCTGTTACTTTCTGTAACATTTATTATGAATTGTGTCTGTGATATTTATTGTCAATTAACATATCTAGCATACTCATTTTTTCCTCTTCTTTGACAACATGGGATACGCATTTAGACCATTCGGTAGCCGTAATTTTTTGGGTGACTTCGTGAAACTGATTCACTGATTGTTTATCGATTTTTGAGTTCATCACTGCACTGTGGTATCATTATTTCACAAAATGACAGTAGGTCATGTCAAATCAGGAATCGAATTAAAATTGTGACTATAGATAAGAGCGGCGCGGCTAGCAAGGCGCGCAGCATACGGTGTACGTCACTTCGTTATATTTCAAGTAAAGCTGAACTTAAAATTATGCCACTGGTTTACGCGATTGTGCTTTCCTTCAGATTTGATTTTCGAACAAGATATGCACCCAAATATTATACTGGAAACTTATACAAAATAACGCATTTATTTAGATTTACACGGCACAGTGGCTCGGCAACTGGCTGCTCTGGGCAACGTGTCGCAGGTTTGATTACCCCACGGAAGAACACTTTGTGTAAGTATACCAAAAACTGTTA